ATTCTAAAGTTCCTGCACAGGACAGCTCAGACCACAGATGATTCCCGGCTCTGCGGGGATCGTCGGGGTCCTCCGTGTGCATTCTAAAGTTCCTGCACAGGATAGCTCAGACCACAGATGATTCCCAGCTCTGCAGGGATCCTCGGGGTACTCTGTGTGCATTCTGAAGTTCCTGCACAGGACAGCTCAAACCACAGATGATTCCCGGCTCTGCGGGGATCCTCGGGGCACTCTGTGTGCATTCTGAAGTTCCTGCACAGGACAGGTCAAACCACAGATGATTCCTGCCTCTGCGGGGACCCTTGGGGCCCTCTGTGTGCATTCTAAAGTTCCTGCACAGGACAGCTCAGACCAGAAATGATTCCTGGCTCTGCGGGGATCCTCGGGGGCCTCCGTGTGCATTCTAAAGTTCCTGCTGAGGACAGCTCAGACCACAGACGATTCCTGGCTCTGCGGGGATCCTCAGGGGCCTCCGTGTGCATTCTGAAGTTCCTGCACAGGATAGCTCAGACCACAGATGATTCCCAGCTCTGTGGGGATCGTCAGGGCCCTCCCTGGCAATCAGCTCTTCTCCTGAACTATCTCAGAGCCATTGGTGTGGGTTGAGTCGACGTCTGTGGCTGGGGCTGGTGATTCTTTGCAGTGACAAATTTCCAGCCTCACTCTCTCCTCAGAGAAGCCCATTTTCTTGTGTTTAATATTCCACAGTGGTCTGAGTGTCCCAGAGACAAGCTGATACCAACCTCAAGCTATTTATTTCATCGCCTTTAAAGGCAGCAGCCATCCTGATCATGCATCTCTTTTCTGATGGAGATAGAAGAACTGGCTGAGGATTGATCCCTGAGCTCTGTGTGTGTGGGTGTGTAAGATAAAGGGACAGATGTCCGGGCAGACCCTACCCGGTGCAGGGCTTCCTCTGTGTCCAGCTCCCTGCATTACTCCCTGACGCCTGATAGTTTGAGGTTATAACCCTCATGTTATATCGGAGTGGACTTTAAGAAAAAAGGCTTGGAAAGAAGGAGACACTTGGACAAACCAGCACAGGGAACATTAGTTAAAACAGGATCTGAGTCTCTGCCACTTGGACCTCAAAGCCCCTGTGTCCACTTTGTAATCTGTATTGTGATGCTGTCTGGGACTGCCTTAGCAAGTGACCACATGGGCTGCTGGAAAATTACACATGTGTGTGGGTGCTGTCATAGTTCCTAGCGTCACAAATCTAATATCAAGGTGTCTCAGGGCCAGTCCCTACACAGGCCCCAGGGGAGGCTCTTTCCTGCCTCTCCCAGCTCCTGGGGGGCTCCAGGCATCCCTGGGCTTATGGCCATATCACTCCAGTCTCTGTCTCCATCTCCGTGTGGCTTCTCCTCTGGGTCTGTGTCTCCTCTGCTGTCTTCTAGGAGGACACCTGTCACTGGGTTTAGAACCCTCCTGAATCCAGGATGGTCTCATCTTAAGATGCCTCAACAATTACATCTGCAGAGACCCTATTGCCAATTACATTCTACTCAGAGGTTCTAGGTTGTAGAACATGGGCATATATTTTGGCGTCACCCTTTAACCCATTATGATGTATCCAGGTCCTTCTGGAGACCCCAGGGGAGGCTCCTTCCTGCCTCTCCCAGCTCCTGGGGGCTCCAGGTGTCCCTGGGCTTGTGGCCACATCACTCCAGTCTCTGCCTCCATCTCCACGAGGCTTCTCCTCTGTGTCTTTGTCTCCAGATTCTCCTCATCTTATAAAAACAGCCCTTATACGGCATTAAGGGGCCACACAAATAACTTTGTCTTCACTAAATCCCGTCTGCAAAGATTCTATTTCCACATAAGGTCTGGGGTTAGGACACAGATAAATCTCTCAACACATGACTTCCTGGCTCAGGAGTGAGGCTATCAAAGCCTTTTTGGTGTTTTTACAGCAATCACCGTTCTATACTATTAATTGCACATAATAAGATGTTTTCTCTCTTCTTTGTTCAAAGACTTTAATAAGGTTAAAGTCTGATCCATGAAAATGCTCCCTGGCATCCACGTTCTTTATAAGGCAGATATATTAATCATTCCTGCTGAGGGTGGTTATTCTGGCTATTACCTGCTTTTCATTATTTAAACCAGAGATTGCTTTGGTAGACCATGTGAAGCCGCCAGTAACTCCCAGAGTAACTGACAGGCTGTAAGCAGCAGGCCACGGAGGCGTGTCTGTGTGTGTGCGCTGAGCAGTGACACTGCCTCTGTGGAGCACACGTGCAAACTGTCCACCCCACTCTTTCCCTCACGCACTTAGATGTCTGTATGGCAGGTGCTCCTGGCTTGTGGAGCCCTGGGCCCCGCCTGAGTCTCCCTAGGACCCTGTACCCCCAGCACAGGGCCTGAGCCTCTCAGCCCACAGGGTGAGGACTGTTTCCAGCTCAGACAGGGGTCCCGAGTCAGGACAGGAAGGCTGTGGGTCCCATAGAGGGTCCTGAGGAGATGCCCCAAGCACAACACTCGGAAATGCCCCAGCCACCCTCCACACATCACAGCATGGGCCTGAGGCCACACAGCCGTTCCAAGGAGGCAGACACATGTTCACAAGTCCACATGCACACGCACATACACACACGTGCACAGACCCTGACGCAGATTCAGACATACGCGTGCGTCTACGCAAAGCACACACAAGTGCACAAATGTGCACTCACAGATCGCCACAAGTAAAGATTCAGACACACCATGTATGACACGTGTACACACAAACGCTCAGGCACAAACTCACCAGCACGTGCATACACATATCCACACGTGTGTGCATGCTCACGGGTCTACACACAAACACACTCACGCACCTGCAGGCACCCCCCCCCCCGTGCACTCAGCATGCACACCCCCTGCACAGTGTTCTCGTACTGTGCAAACTCAGCAGCACACTGGGAGACACACATTCCCACACTCTGCTGCACACACACTGCCCAGGCACACACACCATCAACCACTCTGGCACACTCATGGGTTCACACACATGCACAAACACACAAACACACAAGCACACAGCCAGGTTCCCATATACCCACCCGTGCGTGTGCATCCCACGAACACAGTCACACGTGCACACTGGCATGACCACACACACATGTGCACGGGTGTGCAGGGGACCATGGAGGAGCAGCCCCAGCCAGGCTCTGCTCTCTCTGAATGGCCCATCAGATGTTCAGCAAACACCCAGGTCTGGACAGCCCCGTCCTCCCAGAGACCTGCCCCATGTCCACCAGCCACAGACACGTCCGTCCCCTGCCACGTCCCCATGGTGGCCACCCCTTCACAGGGGAGCCCCAACAAGGCTCCACATCACATCATCACATAGCCCTTTGTAGAGGCGCTCATGCAGATAGGGGCTCAGTTTGTCTAAGCAGAAAGATGAATGTATTCTGGGAACCCCACAGGCCTCTTCTTAACTTCCAACTGACCCTCGCTGTGTAGGGACATCCTACCGTCATGGGCCCACAGGCCCTGTACCTCCTTTCAGGCCTCGAGGCCTGAGGGTGACCAGAGTGCCCTGCCCTGCTGGAAATTCCAGAGTCTGGTCCCCAAATCTGACCCCAAGACAGCCAAGCACCCAGGTCTCTCCAAGGGCAGTGCTAAGGCTTTGTAAGATCAGGGCTGTGTATCCACAGAGAAACAGAAACAGAAGTCCAATAGCTGTGGGTCTGAGTGTTCATCTTAGACCCCCCTTTGGGGGGATCTCCTGCATATCAGATATTTACATTACGATTCATAGCAGTAGAAAAATTACAGTTATGAAGTAGCAGCTAAAATAACGTTATGGGTGGGGGTCACCACAACATGAGGAACTGTATTAAAGGGTCGCAGCATGAGGAAGGTTGAGAACCACCGCCTTACAGAATCCCTAGGTGATGGTGTTGGGGGGGACCTTTAGGAGGTGATGTGGTCCTCAGCCACGTGGATGGGACTAGTGCCCTTACTAAAGGGACCCCAGAGAGCTCCGTCACCCCTTCCACCAAGTGAAAACTGGGAGATGGCACCATCTTTGAACCAGGAGCTGAGTCCCCACCACTCACAGCATTTGCCATGCCAAGATCTTTTTTTTTTCTTTTTTTTGTAGAGAAAGCATCTCATTTTGTCGCACTGGGTAGAGTGCTGTGGCGTCACAATTCACAGCAACCTCTAACTCCTGGGTTTAGGCGATTCTCCTGCCTCAAACTCCTGAGTAGCTGGTACCACAGGTGCCTGCCACAACACCTGGATATTTTTTTGTTGCAGTTTGGCCAAAGCTGGGCTCAAACCTGCCACCCTCGGTATACGGGGCTGGTGCCCTACTCTCTGAGCCACAGGTGCTGCCCACATGTGGAGATCTTAATATTCAGCCTCCAGGACAGTCAGCAATTAATGTCTATTGTTTATAAGCCTCAGTGTCCTTATAAAGGGACCCCAGTGAGCTCCCTCTCCACTTGCACCATGTGAAGACACAGTGAGAAGGTGCCATCTCTGAACCAGGAGCTGAGTCCCCACCACTCTGCCACTCCGGGATCTTCAGCCTCCAGAGCTGTGAGTGATACTGTTATTGATGAACCACATGTCTACAGCACTCGGCTACAGCAGCCCAAACACACGAAGGTTCCTATTCTCAGAGAGTGATCCCTGTTATCCTTCAGGGAGTTTCAGAAGGAATCCACCAAAGGGGTGCAGTGATTAGAAAACAGTGCTTTAAGGTCACCGAGAGTCACAGCAATGCCCCCCGCACATTCAGTGGGTCACATGTGCAATGCGGCAGAAAACAGAAAGCTTAAATATACCTGCTAATTCCCTACATTCGACTTTGGTGTTTCCCTATCCAAACAATAAGATAACACCATTGCCCAGAGCTAAGCTGTGCGACCACGGGTCACAAATGGTTGCTGATTGAGTCACTTTTGCCCAAGGCTTAAGTACTGTTCCAGCCAACGCAGGAGGCCAGTAACCTTCAACCCCTCAGACCCCTTTAAGGTCCCACATAGGGCACACCCCACCTGCTCTGAAGGTCGTCCATGTTCAGCTCGCCAACGTAGTGTGTGGCCGAGGACACGGTGAGCACCCTGGCACTGTGGCCGGGAGATCCAGATGCCTTCAGGGTGTCCAGGAGCAGGTTGGTGAGTAGGAAGTGCCCCAGGTAATTCACACCAATGTGTTCTTCAAATCCGTCCTGGGTCCTCCTTTCCGGAACCATCATGACCCCAGCTGGGAACACAAGGAGAATGTCAGGGAGGGTCAGACTGGGTGAGGAGGTGGAGAATTGGGACAGGTGGATTTCAGGGATGTGGACGCAGTCCTAGGTGCCCAGAGGGGACGGGTCCAGCCCAGGCATCATCTCGTCCTTCTGGGACTCGGTTTATTGCCTTGTGTACGGTGGGAGGTGCCTGGCCATCCCTGATGTCCCTTCCTGCTCTGAGTCTCTGCTCATCCGTGTCGTGACTTGGAGAGTAACAGCAAAACACACACAGGAGATAGAGGATGTTCTGAGTCACCCAAACTTGTGAACTTCAGAATTAACTTCAAGTACAAGGCTTCAAGTACACAGGGCTGTGTCTATGTGTGTGTGTCGATCAAACACAAGAATGCATTTGCAAATGTGAATGGTGCAGAAACACAGGAATATGTGGTAATGTACAATCCCAGGGCACGTCTGGGCTTGCAGTTCATGGGCACATTCAAATCTGTAAGTAGCCAAAAGAGTGTCCTTACTGCCGGACAAGGACAGTTGCTATGGCACTGCCCCCTGCACCGAGCATCCCATGGGTTCCTCGGGTGTCCTGTGAGAAATGGTGAACCGAGTATGGACACAGCCGAGCCTCCCCCCAGCCCTGGCCCAGCCGGATGAGTCACAATTTCATAAACAAAATCATCCCCGTACTCTCTGCTTCCCAGGCTCACAGTACGCCCCCTCCCCAGGAAAAGGAGTTAATTAGCTGTTCTTAAGTTCTTTCCACAAAGGTCTAACCTCAAACACATTCATGTAAGCAATATGCCGGCCCATGCTGACCCAGTCTTAAAGCAGGCCAGCTTGTCCAGATATCAGTGCACAGGTCTCTATGTGTCTGTGCTTACCTGACACATACATGCAGCTCTGTATTTATGTGAGTTAGGCATGCATATGGAATGCTGTGTGTTTGCACCTATGGGACAGGTATATATTCACTTGTGTACATGTATGTCTGTGCAGGTGTGCACTGGTATATTTGCATACATGCTTAATTGACTCAAATGTGTGCACTTACACACATGGTTCCACACAGACCTGTGTTCACATTCTTGAATATGCACGTGTATTTGGAAATGCACAGGGATTTGTATGCACAGTAACTACTGCATGCGTGTGTATAGGACTATGAATTTGCACATGAGCTGAGCTCAGAGTGCATGCATGTCTAGGCTCACTTTCATATGTTTCCATACGTGCCTTCATACACGTGGATGTTTCTGTTTGTAACTGCAAAAAAAAACCCAGGTAACTGCATATATGTGTACATCGATGTAAGCACACTGTTTGGAGCTACTTACAGATTTGAATGTGACCATGAACTGCAAGCCCAGACGTGCAATGGGATTGTGCATTACCACATATTCCTGTGTTTCTGCACCATTCACATTTGCAAATGCATTTTTTATGTAAGTGTTTGATTCACACACACACATAGACATAGCCCTGAGTACATGCTCGGATGCCTGTCTGTGTTTTCACACAGGTAGGCATTTGGATTCGTATACATGTATCTATTTGTATATGTGTGTGTATCTATTTGCATACTTGGATATCTATGTCTCTATATGTAACTATTTGTATACATAGGTATCTATCTCTGTATATGTATCTATTGGTATATCTATGTATCTCTATTTATATATTTATATGCAAATGTTTCTCTCTCTATATATATAAATTTATTTATATAGATTTAGACACAAATCTAAACCTATAGATATAGATACAAATATACCTATGTCCTTATTATGTACGTATTTATATATGTATCTATTTGTATACATAGGTATCTGTCTGTGTATATGTATCTATTTGTATGTATCTATTTGTATAATGTATCTCTCACTATATCTATTTATATTCAAATGTATTTGTCTATATTATGTACCTATTTGTATATGTATCTATTTGTATACAAATGTATCTATCTCTGCAAATGTATCTATTTGCAAACTGTGTTATCTTTCTCTCTATACATATCTATTTGTATATATATGTATCTATCTCTCTCTCTACTAATATGCAAATGTATCTATGTACCTATTTGTATATGTATTTATTTGTATACATATGTATTGATCTCTCTCTCTCTCTTTGTATATCTGTATTTATATACAAATGTATCTGTCTATATTATGTACCTATTTGTATATGTATCTATTTCTACACAGAGATATCTATCTCTGCATATGTATCTATTTGTACATGTGTATGTATCTATTTCTATATATGTAGGGTAGACATAAAGTTTATGTGCAATTTAAATAATAAACTACCCTGTATGTGTCTAGTTGTATATGTGTATGTATCTATTTACATATGTATATATCCATTTGCATACATATGTATCTATGTCTCTATTTCTATATGTGCCTATGTCTATTTATGTATATATATGTATCTATCTCTCTATAGAGATACATCTATTTATCTATGTATACATCTATACATCTATTTGTATATGTGTATGTATCGATTTGCAAACTTGTGTATGTATCTCTCTATACGTATCTGTTTGTATACACAGGTATCTATCTCTATGTCTATTTGGATACATATGTATCTCTCTCTACATATATCTACTTATATACAAATGTATCTATGTACCAATTTGCATATGTATCTATTTGTATACATATGTATCGATCTCTCTCTCTTTGTATATATATCTATTTATATACAAATGTATCTGTGTATATTATGTACCTATTTGTATATGTATCTATTTGTATCTCTGCATATGTATCTATTTGTATATGTGTATGTATCGATTTGCAAACCTGTGTATCTATCTCTCTATACGTATCTGTTTGTATACACAGGTATCTATCTCTGTATGT